TCAAATGGAGAAGAAATAGAAATCTATGTCGCGGTCTGTATGTCACTAGGATGTTTTATGATTTTGCATCACTTAGAATCTCTTAACCAGAAATTAACACATCTCACCTCAGTTCTTCTCTCAAAAAATTACCAATAGCAAAATCACGTTTGATCAAAAAATACACGTTACCAATACCACTAACGCAAAGTAAGTCCCTAATTGACCATCCATTAGTAGTAGTACTTCAGTAATTTCTGCGAAAAAAAGAAAAATATCCTCTCAAGAGAGCCAGTGTGGACAGTATACCGCGTAGCTGTAGCAAAGAATACACTTGAGCAACAAGTCGAACTTCGAGAGTGCTTTCTGAACATCCCCACGTAACAGGACATCAGATTTTATTCGATATTTAGATCCAAAAAAAATTCAGATCGAAATCATTAAGCATCCTAATAACATAGCACAGCCGAGGAAATGTCAGGGAATTTTACAGACGGGAGTAGAAAGACATATGTGCGGCTTATTTTAAATAAAGAACCAATTATTATTATTATTAAACTAATGTTAATCCAATAAGTAAGTACATTAAAACATTTTGCAGCTTTGCAGCTATATGCCGTGTTCTGGTTTTTTTCTAAATTTTTCCACATTCCTGGCGTAATTTTCATAGGCGATTTCAATACCCCACAAATGCTTTGTTCATACGAATTAGCAAACTATAATCGACAGGTCTTCGATAGAGCGGGAGATTTTCTATATCCGGAAAAAAGCTGCTTTATCCGAAACAGATGCGCCAGTTTCTCCTCGCCGCATCGCCGGTTGGTCGTTTTAGATTAAATTCGAATAATAAAACGGAAATTAGGAATTAGTGGTTATTAAACCATTAATACTCGAACAGGAATTTTAACTGCGTTCTTAATAATTGGTTTTCATTTTTATTTAGGGACTATCGAAATTATAAATGGCGGTAAACCAGAATAAATGTATTTATTTATTTATTTTATTCGGATACATTAAAGTAGATATGACGAGTTACAGACCTAAAACTAAACATTGCTTAAATATATTAATTGTAAATGGTAGTTTATATATAATTTTTATACAAAAAAAACTCACAAGTACATTTAAAATTCTGTAATGTGTAGAATGTATCCGTCAACAGTAGCCTTTTCACTTCACAGTTGGTGACAGATTTCAGATGCGTGACAAGTGCTATTTAATCTCAACTGAGTTAGATGTTAATGAATGTAAATAAAGCGTTACTTGTTACCCCCAACATTTTTTTCTTTTGCGCTGCTAAAACCCTATCTGTGTCCTGGGCGCTGTCCCATATGGGTATATTATAGCTAAGAGTCGAATATGCGTATATAGAGTAATCAGATTACTAAGCTAAATGATTAAATTTTTTAATGATTTTATCATGTACTAGCATTTATTTAATTTGGAGCAAATAATATAGATTTGTGACTTCTAGTTAAAACGATTTTCAATCGAAATTCCTGAAAATTTGAAATTACTACCTAAGCGAAGAGCGAAATTCTCAAACATAAAGCACAATTCCAGTGGCTTGCAATCTTTGGTTTTAAATTACATTAACTGTTTTTGTCAAATTAATAATAAGTTTATTTTTCCTACATCTGTTGGAGAATTCATGTGATGTCAAGAGAATTTTTTATTTGAAGTTATGTTCAGAATTTGCAGACACCGCAATAGATGTGCTCTCTGCGTACATGAAAATGAGTTCATGTGTTATGTATTCGGGATAGGCTAGGCGGTCGCGGCCATCGATCCCATCTTTGAAATCCATTTCACAAATATTCTGGTAATATTTCATTCAATTTAATAACGTGGATAAATAATTTTTGAAAATGCAACAGAATTGTTATCAAAATTGGATTGTTTATCTAAGCGACTACGATCTATAACTCTAAAACATTTTTTCCTACCTAAATACCTAATGTATTTAAATTAAATGTATTTAAAAAGCGTGTGCAAAGAATCATTTTAAGAGGAATTTTAAGACCCTTCGACAGTATCAAAATAACAAGTAATGAAAAGCTCATTGCGGATGCATTAAATAAATACTTTACAGATATAGGGTTAGGTATTGTTAAAAAAATTGAGGACGAGAAAAATTCTCTAACGTTTAACGAAGTGTTATGTAAAAATGATATATTTTTGGAATCAACTAGTGAAACCGAGATTGCAAATCTTATAAAAAACTTTAAGAAAAATGCTGCATCATTACACGATGGTGTAATCTTGTCAACCTGAATCAATAAATTGGACCTATTATTAGTAAATAATATATAATAATAATTAGTAAATAATGGAAAATTCCAGAGGAACTAAAATTCGTTAAAGTAGGCCCAATATATAAATCGGGGTCGAGGATGTCGAGCAGCAGCTACAGGCTAATATCACTCATAAGTACTTTTTCAAAAATAATCGGAACTCTTTTGAAAGATAGAGTGACATGCTTTCTAGAAAGGCACGTTACTTTTGAACCGTTTCATTACGGATTTACATCTAATAGCGGTACACTAAACGCCTCTATGAACTTAGTGAAATTAATATTAAATAGTCCTGATCAGGGAAGGGTGGTTTTGGTTGTATTCGTGGACTTAAGAAAAGCTTCGATGTTGTCGATCGTGGTTTGATTATTGATAAGATTGAACAAATAGGACTATGTAAATGTAAATAGGACTATGTAAAATCTAATTCGAATATACTTACCAACCACAGTCAACACGTAACTCTGGAAGACTGCAGAAGCAGAGTTATGGCTAATAATTGTGGGGTCCCTCGGGGTTCCGTCCTTAGGCCCCTGTTGTATAAGTTATACGTCTTGCGCTTGCAGATGATACGGTCTTAATTTATACATTAAAGAATCCAGAAGTATTGGCAAATATAGCAAATATTGACTTAAAAGCAGCTGGCTAGTATGTAATAAATTAAAAATAAACGTTGAAAAACTAAATAGATTTTACAAAAAAAATAATAACTTTAACATTAAGATAAATGTTTTTACTTTGGAAACAGTTGATAAAATAAAATATTTAGGGCTTACGCTTGACGAGCAGCTAAATTGGAGTGCTCACATTAGTCATATAAAGAACAAAATAGTTCCCTGAGTTGCAGCGTTATACAGGTGTAACTATTTTTTAAGCGAAATTTCAAGATACAAGATACAACGAATGTTTCTCGTCGGTTTAAAATATCTTATTGCAGTCTAGGGTACATGTAATAAAACAAACTTTAATAAAATAAAAATAATACAAAAGAAAATATTTAAAACGCTATTTAATTAAGATTACAAAATGCACACTGAAACGCAGTACTCACTTCAAATTAATCCGATTGAAATTATATTACAATTTGAACAATCTAAACTTATCTTTAAAATAGTACAGAATAAAACACACAACTTAAGAAATCACACTGACATACAGTTCCGGAATGCCAGAACAAGTGCAGCTTCAAATACTTACAACCTGCTGCCTAACATTGTGTGAAAAATGAGACAACCAATTATATTAGATAATTCAATGAAAATGCTTAATGTATTGTTTAGAAAGTTACCTAATTCATGTCTAGAGAGTATAATAGTGTATTACAATCTAATTATAATATAAATGTACTGAATAAAGGATTATTTTTTAAAAAAAGTCACTTGTTGGTTAAACAGAGGCTCTGCTCTCTCTCTCTCTCTCTCTACTGTCTATCATCATTATCCATGCTCATCGTTTTTCTTCTAATCAAGATTTTATAATTATAGTTGGGGGTTTTTTCGATGTATAGAACTTTAAGTTGGCATGACTGTTCAAGACGGCGACCGATTTAACAGCTGTGAAGTGATTTATTCTCAGTTTGGATTGGCAATTCATCATGAATTCATCAAGTAAGGCGTAGATTCGTCGAAGGGGCCCAAAACGAGATTGCCGTTGTTCCCGATTTTCATAAGCGAATTTTGTTTAGCGATGAAGCGCACTTGGAGTGAAGCTAATCCTCAAGTGTATGTCGAAACACCGTTACATCCAGAAAAACTGACTGTTTGGTGCGCTTTATGGGCTGGTGGAATCATTGGTCCGTACTTCTTTAAAAACGATGATGGCCAGAACGTTACTCTTTCATTCCTGAATTGAATAACCATGATGTCCAGGAGATGTGGTTAAAACAAGACGGCGCAACATATCACACAGCTCGTGCCACAATCGATTTATTGAAAGACACGTTTGGTGACCGCCTAATGTCACGTTTTGGACCTGTGAATTGGCCTCCAAGATCTTGTGATTTAACACCGCTAGACTACTTTCTGTGGGGCTATGTAAAGTCATTGGTCTATGCGGATAAGCCACAAACGCTTGAACATTTGGAAGACAACATTCTCCGTGTTATTGCCGATATAAGGCCACAAATGTTGGAAAAAGTCATCGAAAATTGGACGTCCAGATTGGACTACATCCGCGCAAGCCGTGGCGGTCATATGCCAGAAATTATATTTAAAATGTAATGCCACAACATACATCGAAAAAAAACACCCCTTTCATGAGTACCCAAGGAGTAAAAAACTTTATATTTTGATCTCCTCCATAGCCACAAATAGGGATCGACGATTGCGTAAATTCAGTTTTTAATTTTGCGCCGACATTAATTTCAATAACGTAGAGTGCAAGCCTCCGGTCTAGACGTTTTATGATTTTTTTATATTTCATTAATTTTTTTACTTTGCCTTTTTAAATTTTGTAGAAATCAAACGGAGTCGGTTTCATTCCATGTTGCGTCTGTATGCGTTTGAGACGGAGCTTTTTATGTTTATTTATGGTACACACAATTTCTTTTGTGATCCCATGATGCCCGTGGACGCGAATATTTTCATAAATAATTTTTGAGACCTCGACTTTTGTGTGTGTTCATAAAATCCCTTACAGCTTGGGTTAATTTTAATTATGTACCATTGAAATTGTAACAAAGCATTTCTAAGACGATTTGCTAATTTAGAACAAATATTTGTGTTACAGTTCTGGTGCACAGCGCTGCATACCATTCTATACAGCTGCCTAATATCTACATATTCGTGGATGCTTTGCGAAGGACTGTACCTTCATACAGTTCTGGTGTGGGCATTTATTTCCCAAAGTAATTTACTTATGGCGATGGTGATAATAGGCTGGGGAATTCCACTGGTCACAACTTTGATATACGTTCCCGTGAGAGCTTTACTGGGTGAAGGAGACGAACTAACAATGTAAGTAATTTTGTTTATGAAGATATGTTTTTTCACTATCTTAAAACTTATTGTACAAGCAAATATCTGCAATTAAACAACTAAATCTGATAATAATAATAATCAATGCAATATCTTAGCCTATTTTGTCAATTGTGTAGTATATGTAAGTTTATTATGAATCTCGAGTAAAAATTTTAGAAAGCAAAACCGTCGGGAACCAAATTTACGAATATATCGGAATCGATATTCTTCATTCGGGTTTAAAGGCCGTCGTCGATTGGAATTACTTCCTAACGTTTCGCTAGCACGAGTGGCGAGCTTCTTCAGAGGTCCTTCCATCTCCGATGTTGGACGTAGACTGACGATTTCTCCTGCGCAGGTTGTATTTATGCCGATTGGTGGAGGGCGGGGCTTGTTCCGCTTCGGTTGGTCTCGGGATATCGATCGGTACTGCTCGGGCGTTCCTAAGGATCGGGTTCCAGATTTGGTTGAGTCTAAGGGTCTCCTCCTTTCGGTTGAAATTGTGAGGGTGTTATTGAATCTCAATGGCTTCCCTGACTAGTCTGTTGTGATAGCCGTTGACCGATGCTAGTAACTTACAGCTCTCAAAGTGTATCCTGTGTTCCCCGCTGCCCAGTGCGTGTTCAGCCACTGCAGACTTCTCTGTATGTCCTAGCCTGCAGCTTGCTTTATGCTCCTTAAGTCTCGTTCCCATTGATCTCTTGGTAGTTCCGATGTAGACCTTTCCGCATTAACACGGAATGCGGTAGACTCCCGCAGCTGAAAGTGAGCCCCTCTTGTCCTTCGCTGACCTGATGGTCTGCTGGATCTTCTTTGTAGGCTTAAAGATTGTTTTGATGTCGTGTCTTTTCAATGCTCTGCCAATCCTGTCGGTGACACTCGGAATATACGGCAGATATGCGTGGGAGGTGGAGGGTCGTTGTTCGGTATCCCGTGATCTTGATGATCTTGAGTTCATTGATCTCTCGATCTCCCTCTTACTGTAGCCATTTGCCTCGAACGCAGTTTTTAGGTGTTCAAGTTCCATCTGGAGGTTCTCCGGTTCGCAAATCCTTCGGGCTTGTTCTGTCAGGGTTCTGATAACCCCATACTTTTGACTTGGGTGATGGTTGGATACAGCATGCAGATATCTGTCCGTATGGGTTGGTTTTCTGTAAATTGTGTGGCCCAGCTTGTTACCTCGCTTCCTCACTAGTACGTCCAAGAATGCAAGTTGTTGGTCATTTTCAGTCTCCATAGTAAACTGGATGCTGGGATGCTGACTGTTGAGATGCTGCAGAAAGTTGTTGAGCTTGTCCATACCATGTTTCCAAATCACGAAGGTGTCATCCACGTACCGGAACCACGTTGCTGGCTTGTACTCTGAGGTGTCGATCGCTTTTTCCTCAAAGTGTTCCATAAATAAGTTGGCTATAACCGGGCTTAGTGGGCTTCCCATTGCCACTCCGTCCACCTGTTCGTAGAAGTTTCCCTTTCACACGAAATAGCTACCGGTCAGACAGACTTCAAAAAGTTTGCAAATATCGACAGGAAATATCCTGTTCACCAGGTCCAAGCAACTCTTCAGAGGTACTTTGGTAAACAGTGAGACAACGTCGAAGCTCACAAGGATGTCGTTTTGTTCAATATTGATATCTTGAATCTTGCGCACGAAGTCGGTGGAGTCCTTGATGTAACTGGTGCCGTGTCCTACGTGTGGTTGAAGCAGCGATGCTAAGTGTTTAGCCAAGTAATACGTTGGTGATCCGGGTGCGCTAACTATTGGTCTTAACGGGACATCTACTTTGTGTATCTTAGGTAGTCCATAGAGCCTTGGTGGAACAGTATCCGTCTTCACAATGCGCTTCTTGATTTCTTCTGACAGTGATGATGACTTGATGAGCCGGTTGGTAAGACGTAGTCTAACTTGCGTCGGATCATTTTTCAGGGGTTTGTAGCTTCCCGGGTCCAAGAGTTCCTCTAGTTAGACTACGTCTTACCAACCGACTCATCAAGTCATCATCACTGTCAGAAGAAATCAAAAAGCGCATTGTGAAGACGGAGACTGTTCCACCAAGGCTCTATGGACTACCTAAGATACACAAAGTAGATGTCCCGTTAAGACCAATAGTTAGCGCGCCCGGATCACCAACGTATTACTTGGCTAAACACTTAGCATCGCTGCTTCAACCACACGTAGGACACGGCACCAGTTACATCAAGGACTCCACCGACTTCGTGCGCAAGATTCAAGATATCAATATTGAACAAAACGACATCCTTGTGAGCTTCGACGTTGTCTCACTGTTTACCAAAGGACCTCTGAAGAGTTGCTTGGACCTGGTGAACAGGATATTTCCTGTCGATATTTGCAAACTTTTTGAAGTCTGTCTGACCGGTAGCTATTTCGTGTGGAAGGGAAACTTCTACGAACAGGTGGACGGAGTGGCAATGGGAAGCCCACTAAGCCCGGTTATAGCCAACTTATTTATGGAACACTTTGAGGAAAAAGCGATCGAGACCTCAGAGTACAAGCCAGCAACGTGGTTCCGGTACGTGGATGACACCTTCGTGATTTGGAAACATGGTATGGACAAGATCAACAACTTTCTGCAGCATCTCAACAGTCAGCATCCAGTTTACTATGGAGACTGAAAATGACCAACAACTTGCATTCTTGGACGTACTAGTGAGGAAGCGAGGTAACAAGCTGGGCCACACAGTTTACAGAAAACCAACCCATACGGACAGATATCTGCATGCTCTATCCAACCATCACCCAAGTCAAAAGTATGGGGTTATCAGAACCCTGACAGAACGAGCCCGAAGGATTTGCGAACCGGAGAACCTCCAGATGGAACTTGAACACCTAAAAACTGCGTTCGAGGCAAATGGCTACAGTAAGAGGGAGATCGAGAGATCAATGAACTCAAGATCATCAAGATCACGGGATACCGAACAACGACCCTCCACCTCCCACGCATATCTGCCGTATATTCCGAGTGTCACCGACAGGATTGGCAGAGCATTGAAAAGACACGACATCAAAACAATCTTTAAGCCTACAAAGAAGATCCAGCAGACCATCAGGTCAGCGAAGGACAAGAGGGGCTCACTTTCAGCTGCGGGAGTCTACCGCATTCCGTGTTCATGCGGAAAGGTCTACATCGGAACTACCAAGAGATCAATGGGAACGAGACTTAAGGAGCATAAAGCAAGCTGCAGGCTAGGACATACAGAGAAGTCTGCAGTGGCTGAACACGCACTGGGCAGCGGGGAACACAGGATACACTTTGAGAGCTGTAAGTTACTAGCATCGGTCAACGGCTATCACAACAGACTAGTCAGGGAAGCCATTGAGATTCAAAAACACCCTCACAATTTCAACCGAAAGGAGGAGACCCTTAGACTCAACCAAATCTGGAACCCGATCCTTAGGAACGCCCGAGCAGTACCGATCGATATCCCGAGACCAACCGAAGTGGAACAAGCCCCGCCCTCCACCAATCGGCATAAATACAACCTGCGCAGGAGAAATCGTCAGTCTACGTCCAACATCGGAGATGGAAGGACCTCTGAAGAAGCTCGCCACTCGTGCTAGCGAAACGTTAGGAAGTAATTCCAATCGACGACCCCCTTTAAACCCGAATGAAGATAATAGCTTATCAACGGGCCGCGAAAGCCTTAACCAATTTATCATATCGGAATCGATTGAAGTCGTGACAAAATATATGGGTGAAACATTTGACTCGCATGGATTAAACCTTCCCCGGTGGAGCTTCTTTGTAGCAACGACCAAAGACCGCAAATGCACAAATTATTTATTGAAATTTAATGTAGTGTAAGCGGATGCCGACGTATAATTTTTTGAATGTCAAGGGTAGTTACAGCATGACGGGTAGTAGCGTGTTCCTTAATAACATGCGTATATTATGCAGAGATTATGTAGAATTTCAATAATCACCATTGTGACCTTAGAATTTTCGAAGCACGAAACAATAAAAGAACGTATTACAAATCTCACTTTTTAAGTGGGAAATTAAAGTTTAAATCAGGATTGCTTCAGTCCTTCATTTACATATTTAAAATAAAGATGCCAGTCTACATGAAAAGTTTGTGTGCTTTTTAAACTATGCCTTTAAAACGCGGCTTTGTGAAATACACGGTAATAAATTTTTATGAAAATTAGGGAATATACAGGAAAGCTTACGGGATTCTTTTATATTTATTTCGTCGAAAAAATTGAAATACCAATTTTTTTTGTATGTGTTACATGTAATGAAAATTGTTGCTATTAAAGCTAATTTCCTTATTTTCAGTAAAATGGCCGGTATGTTACTTAGTTTTTGAATTTCCTTGAAAATCTTATGGTATTTTAAAAATTTACAAAATTGTAACATTATCTTGAAGACAATCCTTTTAACCATTTGATGAGAATCGCTAGTTTGAAAATGGACATTAAGGATTGATTTTTCGTCTATCACACTTACAATGTGTCCAAAATTTGCGACTAATTAAATTAGTTTTAAAGTGCCACTTTGGGTCTGATCACAATTATATATTTTAAAGTAGGGAGTAAAAAAAAAATTGATAATATGCTAGATACCTGATTTGAAAAAGTAGATAATGGTCGGTGGAACAAAGTATATTAAAGAAAAACTCACTTAAATTAATATTTTATTTATGCAAGTGAATTAAGATACGTTGAATTTTAACAACACTCTTAGACAAGGTGTTTAGATTAAATATGGTGAAATAAGTAGCGTGGATAAGTGTTAAATTATCCTAGATAAGCAAAAGTTAACTTTTATTGAGCTTAGTAGAACAAATTTGGTTTGGCTGCACAGTCAACATCGCCTTTGCAAACCAATCAAACCCATTTGGCTAAATTTCAAAATACAACTAAAACCTAATTTTTCATTATACCAACAATAGAAACCAAATTTGTGGTTTAAACTGATATATTCTGTTAGCGTGGCATTTATACACTTAAAAAATCATTCAGGAGCTATCACGTT